TACCGGTACCGGTTTAGAAGTGGCGTATCGTGTCGTAGTGCAGAGACCGGCCCAAATTTTTGGGCCGGCGTGCGGGCGCCTATCACTCGCCTAAGAAAAAATGGGCAAAATGTTCCTGCTTTAACAGGTTCAGTAATCACACAATATATGCAGGCAGTCACTCATAGAAGCACCAGAACACTGCGCGAGACCTCAGAAATAAAAACACACATAATATTCCAATGTTTCTTTTATTTCACATGATTCCCTTGATGATCGTGTCACCAACTTATTTTGTTTCACTGCTTACATGAACCAGAAGGAGTTTGCAAGCATTATTACTTTCCCTAGTTGGATGTTCAGTTCAGGATGCCAGATGCTTTGTAGGATTCGACGCTGTCTCCGAGGGTCTTCTCTACAGGCCTGAAGGTCCACCCTAGCTTCTGAAGTTTCTCTGAACTCATAACGTTACCTTCTTCCACCTCCGTAAAGCTGCAAACCAATTCGAAGAGAGCAAATTGCGCCCAAGTTAAGTATGGAAAAGCATTTGTCAGAAGGGAGAAAAAACAGTAGGATATTTCCGTATCGTAAGCATTTTATGATATCGTGACAACATTTTCTGTTAAAAGTCTTTACATTTCATATCGTAAAATACATGCTAAATTGTATGTGCAGTTGGTATTACACTTTGAAAAACTATGCTTTATTCGATTTGACAAATGACAACAATCCCCATTCCAGTGCTTTCCAGGTGATGCTGAATTGCTGATACTTGCTTATCTCAGGAAAAGATAACTAGACTTATATTTATCCTTCCTTTTCAGGGGGTGCCATCTAGCTTGTGAGGATTGAAATAGTAGTAAGATGAAACAAATTTGCCTGCTGAGAAAGGCGCTTACTTTTTGGGATAAGTGTATGTTGGATATAAGGTCTTCAGAATGCTTATGACATCAGAGACTTTTATTCGTACTGGACTGCAGATGTACCGTCCAGATGCCGCTGGATTTTCATATGCCAGAAGAAGAGCATCGGCGACATCACGAACGTCCACTAGATTCCAGAATCTATTTTCTACAGTCTCATGTTCTCCTGCAAAAGAGAGGTATTTCAGTTTTATAGAAACAAAACTATATACAAGCCCAAACTAGTTTGGTCTTTTGAACAACTTTGATTTTAAAAGTACAAAGGTCCATTGTGCTATGCTTGGTTCAGTTAGAAACAAGCAACAGAGGGCAGACATCATTTTCTGATGCCCAAGTTTAATAAACAGAGCAATATTGACTCATTTGTGTACTGTTTCATATAAGGGCATGTAAAACAAACGAACCCGAAGATAAACACACTCACCTTTGAGATATTTAAGGAGAATTTTACTGCTCGCATTCACTGTAGGCTGCATCAAGGGGCCAAGTACCAAGGATGGTAAAATGGCTACAACATCCAGCCCAGTTTTTGCTGCATAAGCAAAAGCCTCACGCTCTGCGCGTGTTTTGGAAAGCAAATACCAATCCTGCCAGGACGACACAAAGATAACTTATTTCATAGGGGTCATCCATAGCAAGGAATTACAACAAGAGACCAGGAATGGTTTGTGCAGTTAGCTGAAGAAGATCATATCGTTAGCACACAAAGGTTTACCAAATGCAAAGGCTTACTTACCTCACCCTTTCTGCAGAGATCCTCGTCTGACCAGCTGTCTTCAGTAAATACTTTGCCCTTAGGCCAGTCAGGATTGTTGAACACAGCAGCACATGAAGACACTATGACAACTCGCTTAACTTTTGCCTCGTGGCAAGCCTTCAGCACATTCAGTGTGCCTGTTACAGCAGGGGCTATAACTTCTTCCTACAAACGAGTAACAGATTGTTAGAATACACACTTGTTAAAATTTGCACATCTCACTCACACGTTATGCCCTGAATTCAGTATGTCTCCTATGAATAAGAAATGGTCCCTTAAACTGTGAAACACGTGATCTTGAGAATATCACCTCGGGATTGGTTGATCTGCCAGAAGGGACAGGGCTGGCAACATGGAAGACGCCCTCACAGCCAGCAACCGCCGACGCAATGCTGCCGTAGTCCATCAGGTCGGCGCTGAGCAGCTGCAGCCTCTCCCCGGCACCTTCTAGCGCCTTGAGATGAGCATTCTTAGCATCACCTGCAGCATGTGGGCACGCACAGAACACAGCACCACCATCACAACCCTTGCAATTTTTCAGAAATTCAAGAACTACAATACGTCGGAGGTCAGCATCTTCATGTCAACATTGGGTTCTCATTTTTCAGCAACTACTACATTACATTCTATTGACCAATCCCTACATACTCGTGCGTAAGCATAGATCTCCGATGGCACAGCCCAGATGAAAAAGAATCTTCGGGAGTTGGTGGGAAGGGCCGTCGGATCGAAGCGAGGAGGTCGAGGGCTCTTACCGGGATCGCGCACGGTGCCGCGGACGGTGTAATGGGGCTTGGAGAGGAGGAGCTTGACGAGCCACGAGGCGACGAAGCCCCCTGCGCCGGTCACGCACACAACGCTCCTCTCCACCGCCGCCGCCTCCATGCTCCTCTCTCCCTCTCTGTCTCTGTCCGTCTTATGCTCTAGTACTGCTCACACTGCGCGGCGGACGGTGGTCGTGGTAAGTGTGTTTTGTAGTGCGCGTGAGGAGGAGCTTGCTGCGTCACGCGCGCCACGCACACTGTCTTGCCACGCGCTGCGCTGCGTTGGGAAACGAATCAACGATTCCCCCGACCGCTCCTACTGTTCTCGGAAAGACTTCGATTTCATAATGCTCGTTCCATCTCATCGCTGTCTCCGTCTATAACAAGTAACGATGCGTTGTTGGTGGAGGAAAACAATGGACAGACCTAGCGCACACAGGCCAGGATTACCAGTAGAGTATTACTCCCTCTGTAATAAACTAATATAAAAACCAAGAAGAATAAAACATCCACTGGCTGCTGAAGAAGAGGGGGCATGAGGCCAACTCCACCGCGCGACCCCATTCTGTCTGGCCCCGTTCGTTTGAGGTAAAAGAGACAAAACGGTCGGCCCAGCGCGCGACGGACCGGACCCATCTGGTCCGTTTTGTGTCCGGATCGACCCATTTCGACCGCAAACATGCGCCGGGTTTGGGTCGCGGCGGACATCAAACGGACGCGTCGCTCGTCCGCGTCGGAGCCGCGTGGCAGGCGGCCACCTACCTCCCATCCGCCCACATCAATGCGCACGCGCGGGCGACCCCGCCTGTCATCCGCCCAGGCGAACGGTCACGGTCCTTCTTAAATGGGGAAGCCGTGGAGCGGTCGTCGTCCACACTCCCACTCCACCCCGCGGCCTCCTCGAAACCCAACATCACCAAACCCTAGCCTCGAACTCGCCGGCCGGCTGCCTCGCAACCATAGGGTTCTGGAACCACGGCCGCAAGGGGAAGCATGACCGCGAGGCCGGCTCCTCCTCGGGACGTCGCCGTGGCTCCATGAAAGAGGGGGCCACTTCGCCGTCGCGTCGGGCCCCCGCCACTGCCCCGTTCAACATCACCCCTGGGCCGCCGGCGAGCACAACCGGCAGTACCTGGGCGTCGACGTGTGCCGGCGTTATTGGGAGACGCAAACGCCGGTCCCGTGGAGCGACATCCACCTCCCCAACAACTGGCACCTTTTCGCCGACTGGGTCCCGATCCCGCCGGTCCCGATGAGTGGCCATGCGCGCCGCGATGAGATCGCACGCCGACGCCGCCTCCTCCCCGACGACCTCTACTACGACGAAAGGTACGCCCCCGACTCCGGGCTCTGGGACACGTGGCTCCAGGACGAGCACGGCGTCCGGCGCGCTTCCTACTTCGCCGACACGGTGTCTGGGCCGCGGCGGCCACGTCGGGAGGTGCGCGGGCGTACGCGGGTGCGCGGCCTCACGCCCACGCCGTCGCCTTCCCCGTCTCCGTCACCACCTCCACCTCCTCGCATGACAGCGGGGGAGGAGGCCCGGCTCATGCAACGTGTCATGGAGGACTCCATGAACACGCATGATGAGCGCCAATGGCCGGGCCTAGAGGAGACGATGGCCCTCTCTGCGGCCGGCGACGTCGCCATCCCTGAGCTGGAGATGGTGGCGGCGGAGGAGGTGATGGAGGAGGCCCTACTGGGCCAGCAGTGGAGCTGGTCGTGCACGGATCCGGAGATGGCGCATGCCGTGGGGGGCGTGAACTGGCGCCCCACGCCGCCGCGGTCACCGGAGCGGGACGCGTCACCACGGGAGGAGGTGGTGCAGACACCTCCTGAAGGAAATATGCCCTAGAGGCAATAATAAAGTTGTTATTTATATTTCCTTATATCATGATAAATGTTTATTATTCATGCTAGAATTTTATTAACCGAAAACTTAGTACATGTGTGAATACATAGACAAACAGAGTGTCCCTAGTATGCCTCTACTTGACTAGCTCGTTAACCAAAGATGGTTAAATTTCCTAGCCATGGACATGTGTTGTCATTTGATGAATGGGATCACATCATTAGAGAATGATGTGATGGACAAGACCCATCTGTTAGCTTAGCATAATGATCGTTTAGTTTTATTGCTACTGCTTTCTTCATGACTTATACATGTTCCTCTGACTATGAGATTATGCAACTCCCGAATACCGGAGGAACACCTTGTGTGCTATCAAACGTCACAATGAAAAAGGGTGATTATAAAGATGCTTTACAGGTGTCTCCAATGGTGTTTGTTGAGTTGGCATAGATCGAGATTAGGATTTGTCACTCCGTCTATCGGAGAGGTATCTCTGGGCCCTCTCGGTAATGCACATCACTATAAGCCTTGCAAGAAATGTGACTAATGAGTTAGTTGTGGGATGATGCATTACAGAACGAGTAAAGAGACTTGCCGGTAACGAGATTGAACTAGGTATTGAGATACCGACGATCGAATATCGGGCAAGTAACATACCGATGACAAAGGGAACAACATATGTTGTTATGCGGTTTGAACGATAAAGATCTTTGTAGAATATGTAGAAACCAATATGAGCATCCAGATTTCGCTATTGGTTATTGACCGGAGATGAGTCTCGGTCATGTCTACATAGTTCTCGAACCCATAGGGTCCGCACGCTTAACATTCTGTGACGATTTGTATTATGAGTTATGTGATTTGATGACCGAAGTTTGTTCGGAGTCCCGGATGAGACCGGGGACATGACGAGGAGTCTCGAAATGGTTGAGACGTAAAGATCGATATATTGGAAGACTATAGTCGAACATCGGAAAGGTTCCGAGTGATTCGGGTATTTTTCGGAGTATCGGAGAGTTACGGGAATTCGTATTGGGCCTTAATGGGCCATACGGGAAAGGAGAGAAAGGCCTCAAGGGTCGCCGCGCCCCTTCCCCATGGACTGTTCCGAATTGGACTAGGGAAAGGGGGCGTGATACGTCTCCATCGTATCTATAATTTTTGATTGTTCCATGCTATTATATTATCAACCTTGGATGTTTTATATGCATTTATATGCTATTTTATATGATTTTTGGGACTAACCTATTAACCTAGAGCCCAGTGCCAGTTTATGTTTTTTTCCTTGTTTTAGAGTATCGCAGAAAAGGAAAATCAAACGGAGTCCAATTAACCTGAAACTTCATGGAACTTATTTTTGGAACGGAAGCAATCCAGAAGACTTGGAGTGTACGTAAGGGAAGCAACGAGGAAGGCACGAGGCAGGGGGGCGCGCCCTCCCCCCTGGGCGCGCCCTCCACCCTCGTGGGCCCCTCGTGGCTCCCTTGACGTAATTCTTCCTCCCATATATACCCATATACCCTAAAAACATCGAAGAGCACAATAGATCGGGAGTTCCGCCGCCAGAAGCCTCTGTAGCCACCGAAAACCAATCTAGACCCGTTCCGGCACCCTGCCAGAGGGGGCAATCCCTCTCCGGTGGCCATCTTCATCATCCCGATGCTCTCCATGACGAGGAGGGAGTAGTTCTCCTTCCGGGCTGAGGGTATGTACCAGTAGCTATGTGTTTGATCTCTCTCTCTCTCTCATGTTCTTGATTTGGCACGATCTTGATGTATTGCGAGCTTTGCTATTATAGTTGGATCTTATGTTTCTTCTCCCCCTCTACTCTCTTGTAATGGATTGAGTTTCCCCTTTGAAGTTATCTTATCGGATTGAGTCTTTAAAGATTTGAGAACACTTGATGTATGTCTTGCCGTGCGTATCTGTGGTGACAATGGGATATCACGTGATTCACTTGATGTATGTTTTGGTGATCAACTTGCGGGTTCCGCCAATGAACCTATGCATAGGGGTTGGCACACGTTTTCATCGTGATTCTCCGGTAGAAACTTTGGGGCACTCTTTGAGGTTCTATGTGTTTGTTGAATAGATGAATCTGAGATTGTGTGACGCATATCGTATAATCATACCCATGGATACTTGAGGTGACATTGGAGTATCTAGGTGACATTAGGGTTTTGGTTGATTTGTGTCTTAAGGTGTTATTCTAGTACGAACTCTAGGGCTGTTTGTGACATTTATAGGAATAGCCCAACGGATTGATTGGAAAAAATAACTTTGAGGTGGTTTCATACCCTACCATGATCTCTTCGTTCATTCTCCACTATTAGTGACTTTGGAGTGACTCTTTGTTGCATGTTGAGGGATAGTTATATGATCCAATTATGTTATTATTGTTGAGAGAACTTGCACTAGTGAAAGTATGAACCCTAAGCCTTGTTTCCTAGCATTGCAATACCGTTTGTGCTCACTTTTATCATTAGTTACCTTGCTGTTTTTATATTTTCAGACTACAAAAACCTTTATCTACCATCCATATACCACTTGTATCACCATCTCTTCGCCGAACTAGTGCACCTATACAATTTACCATTTGTATTGGGTGTGTTGGGGACACAAGAGACTCTTTGTTATTTGGTTGCAGGGTTGCTTGAGAGAGACCATCTTCATCCTACGCCTCCTACGGATTGATAAACCTTAGGTCATCCACTTGAGGGAAATTTGCTACTGTCCTACAAACCTCTGCACTTGGAGGCCCAACAACTTCTACAAGAAGAAGGTTGTGTAGTAGACATCAGGGCGCCCCCTTCCTTCCTTCTCCTTCTCCCTTCCCTTTTTCCTATTCCATGAGGGAGGTTGAATCCTACTAGGACTAGGGAGTCCTAGTAGGACTCCACACTTTGGGCGCGCCCTATGAGGGCCGGCCTCCTCCTCCCTCCATCCTTTATATAAGTGGCCAGGGGACACCCCATAGACACACAAGTTGATCATTGATCCCTTAGCCGTGTGCGGTGCCCCCTCCACCATAATCCACCTCGGTCATATCGTAGCGGTGCTTAAGCGAAGCCCTGTTCCGGTAGCATCATCATCACCATCATCACGCCATCGTGCTGATGAAGCTCTCCCTCGACACTCAGCTGGATCGAGAGTTCGTGGTACGTCACCGAGCTGAACGTGTGCAGATTGCGGAGGTGCCGTACTTTCGGTACTAGGACCGGTCAGATCATGAAGACATATGACTACATCAACCGCGTTGTCATAACACT